GCTCCATTTTTGTGGAAGCTGTGGTACTGGATCAAACCCAATGTCTTGGGCACACCAGGGAGTGCGTCCTATCACCAAGTACATCCCGAGCCCTAAAGAAACTTCCTGACTAGCAGGAGTTTATGTCGGCAGAAGCACAACATGTTTGGGAAAATTCAATTCTCTGAGGGAAAAACAAGGAGAGAATTACAATCCTCCCCCAGTCTATTTTCCGTTATTATAACAAAATACCACAGAGTGGGTAAATGTTAAAGAAAAGAGGTTCTCTTGGGCTTGATTTCTGGAGGTCCAAGCTTGAGGAGCTGCAGGTGGTGATGGCATAATCTGCGTCAGCAAAGGACATCACATGGTGTCGCATGTTGGGAGACAGAGGGATGCCACCCATTGTCTCTCTCACTCCGGTCTTCTGGTATTCAGTTATGCTCCTTTCTTTCCATGACCTTTTCCAACCCTAAGCCCTCCCAAAGGTGACCTCTAAGCACCATGATGTGATTAAATTTCTGCCTTGATTTCTCACGGGGGATGAGTGGGGGTGGGGGTGGGCTCAACTCGGACATGCTTTAGGAGATGAACTATGTCTGAACCACAATGCACCCCCCCCATCCACTAACAAAGACTGCCCTGATGAAATCATCTTCAGTCAGGAAGGTGACTTCCTGGCCCTTTCTATACAGAGGGGGGAGTGGGGAGAAGAGGCTGAGAAGAGGCCACATGGTCACCTTTGTGTCACCTTTGTGGCCTCCCATTTCCAGTGCCTTTTCTGGGAGCCACTGCTCGGCTGTAGGAAGCAGGGGCAGCAAGGCTCAGGCTACAGTTGTGGTTTCCAACACAGACAGCGGGAAGCATAGCTGAGCCCTTTCCAGCTCCTAACTCAGAGGAATGCCAAGGGGAGACGGAAAGCCCTAGAGAAGTTCTTTCCATCGTTTGGTTATGGCGCTTGCTTGCGGTTCCTCTGTGCATATTTTATTAGCATATGTGAAATATTCATCACATCATCATGACATTTTCACATAGATAAGATGTTTCGGTCACATTTATCCCCCATTATGGTCCCTCGTTCCTTCCCTACTAACGTTCTTCCTCTGCCTTCTACTTCAATGTCTTTTCTCTGCTGTTATTGACCCAACGAATTGTATTAGGGTTGCTTACAGGACAAGGGTGAGAGTCCGTTTATAGGAGCAGGGACACCTAACCAGTGGCTACTCAAGAAAATGCCTCTCCCAGGGCTGGAGAGATGGTGCAGAACTTAAGAGCGCGTATAGCTCTTGCAGAGGACCTGGATTCCGTTCCCAGAACCACATAGTGGCTCACAACAGCCTCTAACTCCAGTCCCAGGGGTTCTGATGCCCTCTTCTGGTCTCAGGTGCATGCGACACTCATACCTTCACCTGGGCAAATAACCACACACACAAAATAAATACATAGGGGCAGGAGGGACGGCTCAGTGGTTAAAATCCAGAGGACCCATATGATGACTCACAAACATTTTTTAACTCCAACTTCAGGGGATTTGACACCCTCTTCCAGCTTCTGCAGGTACCAGGCATGCACATGATACACAGGCGTAAATGCAGGCAACACACCCATGCACACGAAATAATTAACAGTAAATAAATACATCTTAAAAAGAAAGAACATGTCTCTCCTTCCCCTTGCAACCACTAATTGCCTGTAGCTCCTCAGGGAGAGGAGGGGCCTGTGAGTCCCTGCCTATACCAGGACAGGATTAGGAGTCCAGGTGTGCAGCTCCATGCAGATAACCTTGGCCACGGGGAGTTCAAGAATGCCATGTCCACGGCATACCCAGAAGACAGCGCTTCACAACACTCTACCCATCTTCTGGCTCTTCCATTCTTTCTACTTTGTCTTCCAAGATGTCCTGAACCTCAGAGGGGGTGATGTTGATGTCCCACAAATAGGGGAGCACTGGACAGTCACACGAGTCTTTGTGGTCACCCTTGCCCTTTGCAGGAAGAAGCTTCATGACCAAAGCTAATGGCAGTGCTCATCTACGAAATAATTAACAGTAAATAAATACATCTTAAAAAGAAAGAACATGTCTCTCCATAGAATTATAGAACATAAGCCGGGCGGTGGTGGCGCACGCCTTTAATCCCAGCACTCGGGAGGCAGAGGCAGGCGGATCTCTGTGAGTTCGAGGCCAGCCTGGGCTACCAAGTGAGTCCCAGGAAAGGCGCAAAGCTACACAGGGAAACCCTGTCTCGAAAAACCAAAAAAAAAAAAAAAAAAAAAAAAAAAAAAGAATTATAGAACATAATTCTATAGGAAGCAATTTGACAGCCCCAAAATGTCTGCTTAGCAAATCAATGTCTATTGAGTTTCCCCACTGGGGCTACGGTCTCCTCAGTCAGGGCTTTAGACTGAGCTCGCAGTACCAGGTGTGAACGCCCTCCTTTGGCGTTACTTTCAATCGGGCAGCAGTTGCCTCGCCCGGGGACAGACCGGCTGCTATGGGGCCAGAGCACTCATCTTGAGTGCTAGTGCAGCATTCAGGGTCCACAGCTGCAGAGATCACTGATGACAGTTCTTCCCTGGAGACTTCTGGCATTAGATGAAAACCTTCTATAACTTAAAATTTTAAAATTACATAATTTATTTATAATTCTTTTAAAAATATTTATTTTTATGTGCATTGGTGTTTTGCCTGTGTAAGGGTGTTGGGTCCCCTGGAACTGTAGTTACAGACAGTTGTGAGCTGCCATGTGAGTGCATGGAATTGAACCTGAGTCCTCTGGAAGAGTAGAAAGTATTCTTTTTGTTTGTTTGTTTGTTTCTCTGTGCAGTTTTGGTGCCTGTCCTGGATCTTGCTCTGTAGACCAGGCTGGCTGTCAGTATTCTTAACCAGTGAGCCGCGTCTCCAGTCCCTCTATTATTTATTTATGTGTGTGTTTGCACACACATGCTGCAGTATGCATGTGAAGACAAGAGACTGACTTGCAGTCACCGGCTCTCTCCTTCCACCACGTATGTCCTGGGGACTGAACTCAGGTTGCCAACCTTGGCAGCAAGTGGCCCAACCCTCTGAGCCATCCTGCCAGCTTCCCGTGTGTGTGTCACGCAGCTGAGGACACACTCCTGGGCTGACTCTCATAGTGAATATAAACACATACAAGGCTTCTCCGCCTGTGACGCTTCATGCTGTCAATGAGAGTTAGAGTCACCGCAGAAACCCACCTCTGGGTGTGCTGAGGGTTTTCCCTCAGGGCTTAGCTGAGCAGGAGAGCCCCGTCCTGGGTGTCCCGGAGCAAACAGTAAGGAGAAGGCCAAGAGCGCCAGTGTTAATCTTACTGTTTGCAAACTGCAGATCCGCCCCTGCCAGCTGCCTCACACTCCTGCCTTTCCCCGAAATGACATGACGGACTGCACTTGAGGCTGTGGGCGGGATAAACTCGGCCTCCAGCAAGATGCTTCTTGCCAGGCATTTGGTCACAGCAAGGAGAAAAGCGACTAATTACATGCCGCCCCCCACCCCCCAGCGCCAATTCTTTAGAAAATTTATCAAGATTGCAAGTTCCCTATCTTGATGCATTAAGAGTGCTGCTTCTTTACTACTAAAAATAATATTGCTTTTAATACCTTCGTCCATACAGAAAAATGTTTTCTAAACATAGATTCTGAGAAGTAGGACCAATGTGGAGTGTTAAACACAGAATGCTGAAAACTACCTTGTATATAACTGACAACATCTATACATATATAAGACTAACAGGGGAAGTATTCTCTACCTGAAAAAGATTTCTTTTTGTTATTAAAGGGGTGCTTTATTTTTAGATTTTATTTATTTTATGTGTGTGGGTATTTTACCTTCATGTGTAGCTGTGTACTCTGTGTGTGTGTACTCTGTGTGTGTGTGTGTGTGTGTGTGTGTGTGTGTGTGTGTATAACTGGAGTTATAAACATTTGTGTTGCCATGTGGGTGCTGGGAATTGAACCTGGGTCCTTTGGAAGGGCAGCCAGTGCTCTTACCTGCTGAGCCATCTCTCCAGCCCTATTTTATTTTTGATATGCTGTATAGTCCTGGCTGTCCTGGAACTTGCTATGAAGAGCAGGCTGTCCTCAGACTCACAGAGATCCGCCAGCCTCTGCCTCTTGAGTTCTGGGATTAAAGGAATATGTCACCACGCCAGCTATTTCGTGGTCTTTCTGTTTGTGATTTTTTTTGACTGTTGTGACAGCCTTATTTTTGTGATTTTCCCTATTCTTGCCCTTCTGAAATCCAGAACCATGTTCAAGGACATTGGTGGAGTGAATTCCCACAAATGTTCCTTTTATTTGATCATCTGCTGTGCTGGGAACTTTAGAATTTTAAAGTCTGGAGACCCATGTTGTATAATTTCATGGCATTTTCTTATATTGTCTATGACCATTCCTCTTTGACCTTCTTTTATTTTCTTTTAAGTTTTATTTATTTATTATGTATACAGTATTCTGCCTGCATGTGTGACTGCAGGCCAGAAGAGGGCACCAGATCTCATTATAGACAGTTGTGAGCCACCATGTGGTTGCTGGGAATTGAACTCAGGACCTCTGGAAGAGCAGCCAGTGCTCTTAACCTCTGAGCCATCTCTCCAGCCTCCCCCCACCCCTTTGACCTTCTTATCCATTCTCAGATAAAACTTCTGGAACTCTCTGTCATTGGATTTTTCTCTTAAGTTTTCTGAATTGAGCCTCTAATTCCTTTTCAATCATTTCTTACCCATTACCATGTCTGAGACTTTTTATTCTTTAATCTTTTTAAATATTCCATATGCATTCTTTTATTAAAAGGTTTGTTTAATCTAGAAACAGTTAAACAAGAATGTTTGCTGAGGGGCAGAGGACCTGGGTTCAATTCCCAACACACCACACAGCAGCTCATGACTGTCTATAACTCTAGTCCCAGGGGATCTAATGCCCTCTTCTGGTCTCTGTGAGTACTGCAAGCATGTGGTGCACAGACATGCATGGAGGCAACACCCATACACACAAAATGAAAATAAATGAATCTTTTAATAAAAATCTTTTTTTCTGAGTAATTTCTTGTTTGTGGTTTTTTTGCTTGTCTTACAGTGTGTGACCCTGGTCTCATGGGAGCTTAGTATCCCTTCCTGTTCTTACATCAGTCGCTGTAACTCAGCATTTTCCACAGAGCCCTGCCTCGTGTCTGTCTGCTGGGACTCTGTATCCTCGGGATATGTTCTGGTCTCTTTCATGGTGGATAAAGAGGCTGGCAGTCATTGCTTTTAAGTTTATGTTGAAATCACAAGAAGTAGATTGGAAGCTCTATTTATTTTTAAATGGTAGATAATTCTCATACCATTAAGGTCACCTCTTTGAGGCACACAATTAGGTGACTTTCAGTGTGTTTTCTAAGTTGTACAGCCACCACCACTATCTGACGCAGCACATTTCATCATCCCAGAGACAAACCCGTACCCATTAGACACTCCTCATCCTCAATCCACCCCCAGGCACTGGCATCCACTTAATCTACTTTTGGATTCGACTATTTGGGAACTCATATAAATAGCACCGCACGATACACGGCTTTTGTGTTTGGTCTCTCACTCGGCACGTTTCCGGAGCCCATGTCTGTTGCAGCACACGCCGGTGCTTCCCCATGTATACACCACATCTGGTTCATCCACGTAAGTCTGTCACTCCCCTCCTTGCCACCACAGAACACCTAACAAAAGCGACTCCAGGCGGGAGGGCTTTATTTTGGCTCACAGTGTGAGAGTGCAGCCCATCATGGCAGAAGGGCGTGTGTGGCAGCTGGCCACTCTGAGTCTGCAGCTGGGGAGCAGAGGGAGATGGATGCTGATGCTCTGCTTGCTGTCTTCTCTTCGTTTGGTTCAGGAGCTCAGCCAGTGCGTGGTCCCACCCACCTCCGGGTTGGGTCTTCCCTGCCTAATTAAACCTTTCTGGAATTACCCTCATAGACATGGCCAGAGCTATGTTACTATGGTGATTTTAAATCCCATCACATGGACAGTGAATTTTGACCATGACAACCCCACCCCTCGACACCCAAAAAACACACCACTTCATATCACATCCCCCCACTCTTGGTCTCAGGAGTCTCATTTTCATCTCATAATGCAAATTCATTTAGTTCATCTCTAAAAGCCCTCAGAGTCATTGACAATCTCAACACTGTCGAAAAGTCCCAAATTCAAAGCTCCTTCTGAGCCACAAGGCGATCTCTTAAGTGACTGTGACCAGCCCATAGAAAGCAAGTTATATGCTCCTAAAATACACAGAGTATGCATGCCCATTCCAAAACGGTTTGCTCAACAAATATTTCTTGACTGCCTACTATGTCTGGGTACTTCACTAGGTGCTAAGGGATCATGTGACTGAAAGTCACCCACTCTAAGGATCTTACACATGAGTGAGATTGAGCTAGGTCAGGGTGGGCACAGTTCTCCAGTGGCTTGTGTGAGGAGTTGTTCCGGGGTCCTCACAGGCATGGGAGCTCTATCCGGAAGGGTGCCTGATATTGAGGGCGGGAGAAGAGGGAGCTGAGGTGGGAGCCACTTAGCTTAGGCTTGGAAGAGAGCTGAGTTCTCCAGAGACCTCCACACGGTTCAAGAACCCTGTTAGGTTCAGAGAGAACAGTGAAGCCACATTTGTCATAATTTCTGGCATGGAGCTGCCTCCCTAGGGCCTGTGGGGGATGGATTGTACTTCTTAGGGCCATTGGCCCAGTGCCTGGCTTCATCTGTGGCCACGATTTTGTGGTAACCACTAGTGTGGGAGGCCACGGCATTGGGCTCAGTCTTCAAGACAGGCTCATGTGGGAGTGTTTTGGATCCAGTCTCTTTTTCTGGGTTATTCTTAGTGCCTGAATGTACTGGAAGAGGTCAGTTTGGCCTAGAAGCCCTGAGAAAGAAACCAGGACCAGACTAAAGCCTAGGCTAATGAGTCTAGGGATAGAGATGAGAAATGTCACCAGCTGAGGGTCATCACATTGGGAAATATTCAGAATTCATTTATTATTTGAGATGGGGCTATGCTACGTAGGCCAGGATGGCCTTGAATTTGGGCTCCTCATGCCTCTACCTCTCATATGCTATGGGATATGGTCTGTACTACCATACCTGGCTGTTGATATCTACTTTTGATATTTTTTCTCTTTGTCCCATATTCTGTCCCTGCAAGATGACAGAGGGTTAATTTTCCAATCATAGTAGTCCAGGTCAAGGAAGTGGCCTGGTCCAGCTGGATGCCTGCGTCCTCCCTGAACTTTTGGGATATGCTGAGTGGCGTGAGGGCATAAGGGCCAGGAGAAGGAGGACAGAGTGCCTAGGGGATGTTGGTGGGAAGGGAGGCTAAGGCGGAAATAGACCCGGGGGAGGATGTGTGTCACAGGGGCTGGATTTAGCCAAATGTTTTGGGAAGCCATTTCTAATTATGAATGTCTTCATGAAGGAACAAGCCACCTCATGCAGCTGGGGTGCCCATTCGCAGTTTAAGCAGAGGATGTGATATTAGAGATGTTGGATTAAGTTGCACTTGGGTACCAATGCTGGCCTGGGTACTGAGAAGCCATGTGACGTCCAAATGCCCCCCATGCAGCCTTGGGGTTCATGTATGAAAGGTGAGGAGGGTCACCTGCCACCTCCTAGGGGTTAGGCAAGTTCAGTGGGTTGATACTATGTCCTGGGCCATGCTCAGCACCTAGTTAACCAGACTGCCTAGTCCATGGCAAATGGTTACCATCTGAGACAAGGAACGGATCACTCAAAGCTATGGAAGTGAGGGACCGCAGCTCGAAGCCACCTCTCTCTGGCCATTCCCCCTCCCTTTGAAATTCCACTTTCCTGTTGTGTTTTTTACTCACTCATCGTTCCCTTAGGAGCCTCCAGAGACCATCTGATGGATCCTGGCCCACGGGAGTGTCTGCTTCACACACAGGGACGCTGCTTCCAGTGTGGCGGGGCAGTGTAATGACCACACCAGCGTTTCCTACCACGGCCTCTGAACAGCCCAGGCACCAAAGGACACCCACGAACTTAGAGAGCAGAATCCAGAGGGGCAAGCCTCCTGCCGCTTCCCTTAGCAATTCAGGTCTCATTGCTAACTAGCCTATTTATTTCTGCAAGCATTCCCCGGGTGTGTGTGGGGGGGGAGAGTGTATTTTCTAGACGTTGACAGTCAAAATAAAGAATACATTTTTGCATTCTTCAATTTATGCAGCTTTTCCTGTGTGTTGTGTACCTCTTCATCATCCTGACTTTAGATGTTCAAGTAGACAAACCATGATGAACTTACCTACCTGTGCCATTGATTTATTTCTGAGACAGGGTCTCACGTAGCCCAGGCTGGCCTCCAACTTTGTTGCTGAGGATGATCTAGTTCTGAGCTTCCTGATGACCCCTCCTGAGTGCCACTAGATCTTGGTTCATGCTGGAGATGGAACCCATGGCTCCCTGTATGCTGCATGCTGTGAGCAGGCCACCCAGGGAGCTACTTCTCCAGCTCTCGTCCTTCTTTCTCATTTATGAGGCTGGTAACCTTGTAACCTTCATCTTCCCTCCTCCATCCTAACCGTGGACACTCTCTGCTCCAGTGTTCGGCTCTTTACCTCCAGGAATTGGCTCCTTCCCAGCCAATGTTGTTTTCGGGCCCAGGGAATTTTCCACCTTTGCTTTGCAATGAGGGGGTGGGGGGTGACATGCACTTTTCCTTTCTCTGGAATTGCTCTCAGAGTGTCAGGAGCAGGCTGCCTCAGGTTGTCAGGATTTGGCAGTCCAGGCAGGGAGAACCAAGGACAGGCTGCCATCCAAAGCTCAATGTCGCCTTCAAGTGAGAATGTGTGGGAAGTGCAGGGCTGGAAGACCAGCCTGTGTCACCCAGCAGTGTGGAGATACCAAGGGTTTAGAGATGCATCTGGGACAGCAAGGCAGCAGTCACCGGGCTGCAGATGGTCTCTTTATTTTATATTTTATTTTATTTCTTTTTAATTTCCATCCAGCTATCTAATCTATTTCCTTCAGTGGACAGGGAAGCGGTGAGGAGGAGAGGGTGAGGAAAGGGTGTGTGCACAGGAACCATTAATTAAATACCTGTCACATGTCAGTGTTTTGCTGGATGGTTTTCAGGCATCAGTGCTAACTTTCATAGCAAGGATCTTGTAACTGCGGTCTAACAGATGAGACACCTAAGGCTCAGAGATACCCAGTCATTCGCCCAAGGTCACCCAAGTGTCAGATGCAGATGTTTTGAAGGGAGCCTTGGTGCGTTCTAAGCTTGCCTATTTTTGCTATGCCAGGCCCATCTTCAACCAGACTGTCAGAACAATGAGAATCTGGGCCCAGGATGATTGGCATATCCTTTGTGACCCCAGGACTATGCTTCTGTCCCCAGAGCTTGGTTCTCTGACCCTACTGGGGCTGCAACAGACGGGCACCAGGTCCCAGACTGACAGCTCCCATGCAAACTGGCTCCTCTAAGGCAGTATCAGGCAATCACGAGGTGCCTGCTGTCCTGTGGTTCAGCTGTGCCTCCCGCCCCGAGTACTGAAATATCCTCCAGCAACACGCGTCTTAAAAAATCAGAAAGTAAGCAAAGACAAGCAAACAGAATCTCCGTAATCTTACCTTCCAGATATAATAATTAATAATAATAATAATGCATTTAAACCTCAACAGCACAGAGAGCAGAAATAAGAAGTAACTTCCTGAGAGTCCTTTCAGAACTTCTTTAGCTATAGACCTGCGGCCGCAGATTTTGAAAACACGCCAGTTGGACTGCTCTGGGCACACCTCGTGTTTTCGCTCTTCCACCTGTGACGTTTGCAGGGCCCGGCCCCAGCACAGCAGCCTCGGAAGAGCAGGTCCCATTGGTTTTTCTCCTTGGTATACTCACCCTGTCCTAGGCAGCGCCCCAGGACAGGACCTAGAGGACCTTGCCTTGGTCTGCCCTGCATTCCTGCGGTGGCGGCGGCAGTGGCTGCGGACTGCTGCCCTCTCGTGGCCGGTCCGGGGAGCGTCTCGAGAGTCCCCTCCTTCCCACTCCCACCCATCTCTTCAGCTACACAGCTATTCTTGGTGTCCCAAAGGGAGGCGACTCTTTTTCCTTCTTCCTTCACGCTCACCTACGGCCCAAATCTTGCCTCAGCATGGCAGCTGTGAAAAATTAGTTGGAACTCTGAGAACGACAGGTGTCCAGCTCCGGCCTAAGAGTTAGGGATTCCTTATGCTTGAATAGATATTTCAATGTAGGAGGAGCAGGTGCATTTGGCTTTACCACGTGGTTAGCTGAGTGCGCTACCCTCTATTTACCGACCCATCTAACTGACCATCTCTCCATCCACTCACCTATATGTACACTCAACATCTCTGACTGTCAGCGTCCTGAGTTCTGTCACTTAGAATAAGTTCGAACTTCAGTTTCCACATATTTAAACTGAATATAGTGAAAGCTAAGTGTTGCAGAGATGCCGGAAGAAAAAGTAGAATAATGTCTGTGAAATACCAAGTGTATGGTGGCTGTTCTGTAAACAGCATTTATTAGATCGTCATCTTTTGGAAGTATATGCTTTCCTGAGGGAGGCGAGATGTAGGTTCATACAGCAGCTGGAGGGTTTCAGCGCGCTCACAGTGTTGTGTGACATTGTAAGGCATCTTTGTGCATGGGGAGTGTGTGCAGGCTGCAGGCTGAAGCAGTGTGAAGGAAGGAAGGGAGGGTTGCGGGCTTGGCATGTCATTAACCTGACTCTCAGGAGATGGGGTTGCAAGACAGAAGCCCAGAGAATGGATGCTTCAGCAAGGATGCTTCCCAGCCCATCAGCCATGGAATCCCCAAGGCAGATGCACTCCATTCCTGTCTGAGGCTTAAAAACATCAAGGGCAGCCCGGCAGTGGTGGCGCCCGCCTTTAATTCCAGCACTTGGGAGGCAGAGGCAGGCAGAGCTCTGTGAGTTCGAGGCCAGCTTGGTCTACAAAGCGAGATCCAGGAAAGGCACCAAAACAACACAGAGAAACCCTGTCTCTAAAACAAACAAACAAACAAACAAAAAAATCAAGGGCAACTTTAGCCACTGATTTATAAATTATTTAATGACGCTATCCAGGAGTCCTCTGTGAATCCAGACAGAAACTACTAGGTCAGTGGTTCTCAACCTGTGGGTCATGACCCCTTTGGGGGTCAAACAACCCTTTCACAGGGGTCACCTAAGGCCATCAGAAAACACAGATCTTTACTTTACAATTGATAACAGTAGCAAAATTAGAGTTATAAAGTAGCAATGAAATAATTGTATGGTTGAGGGTCCCTACAACATGAGGAACTGTGTTAAAGGGTCTCAGCTCTAGGAAAGTTGAGGACCCCTGCTCTAGACTGACTGCAGAGGAAGGTCCAGGGGTTCTGACAGTTAGGCATCTTCTGCTTGCCAGTGATTCCTAAGTAGTGTGCTGGGTTCTTCATGTGCCTGGGAGGTGGGAGCATTATCCATATTTTTGAGGATGAGGATGAGGGTCAGAGAGGACAAATGACTTGCCCACGATACCGCCATAGACCGCTCACATTCTGGAGAGTTTAGCTCTAGGTCAGAACTGCTTTCCTATACCTGGGTCTTCGAGGTTGGCCCGACTGTCTGAGAATTTTTCCTTTTCCATCAGGCAGCACTTAACTGTCTCCTCCTTGTCAGAACTCCCTCCCCCCTCTTTTTTAAAAAAAATATTTATTTTTTTTCTATTATCAGCTTGATACAGTACACATTCTTATCCTAATAGTGAAATGTTTCACTGAGTCTTGCCCAGTAATTGAGTAAAACCAAAACTTATTATAAACCACAGTCATCCTAGGGTCCCCCCTGCTATGTAGCCTCCCTGGTTCTGTGGGTTGCAGTCTGATTGTTCTTTGCTTTTTTTTTTTTTTTGGTTTTTCAAGACAGGGTTTCTCTGTGTAGCTTTGCGCCTTTCCTGGATCTCACTCTGTAGACCAGGCTGGCCTCGAACTCAGAGATCTGCCTGCCTCTACCTCCCGAGTGCTAGGATTAAAGGCATGTGCCACCACCACCTGGCTGTTCTTTGTTTTATACCTAGAATCCACTAATGAGTGAGTACATACCATGTTTGTCCTTCTGGGTTTGGGTTACCTCACTCAGGATGATATTTTCTAGTTCCATCCATTTGCCTGCAAATTTCATGCTGTCATTGTTTTTCTCTGCTAAGTAGTACTCCATTGTGTATATGTACCACATTTTCTTAATCCATTCTTCAGTTGATGGGCATCTAGGTTGTTTCCAGGTTCTAGTTATTACAAATAGTGCTTCTATGAACATAGTTGAGCATGTATCTTTGTGGTATGATTGAGCATTCCTTGGGTATATGCCCAAGAGTGGTATGGCTGGGTCTTGAGGTAGATCAATTCCCAATTTTCTGAGAAACCGCCATACTGATTTCCACAGTGGTTGTACAAGTTTGCATTCCCACCAACAGTGGGGGAGTGTTCCCTTTGCTCTGCATCCTTTCCAACATAGACTGTCATTAGTGTTTTTGATCATAGCCATTCTGATAGATGTAAGGTGGTATCTCAGAGTCAGAACTCCCTCTCTTTAGACCATGACCTGAGCCTAAGTCCAGGCTTCCAAGCCCTCAGATCTGCTGAGTAAACCAGTTCCTCCGTGGAACAAGCCCCTGAATCGATGGGGACAGGGGTGTGCCTCCTATGCCGCTAGGCCCGCTGTAAGGCTTATCGGCTTTCCTTTGTAAATAACTCTTTAAAGGCATTTTGTTTTAATTTTATGTGTGTGAGTCATTTCCTGCAGGCATTTTGGGTACCATGTGGATTCCTGGTGCCCTGGGAGGCCAGAAGAGTGTGCCAGAGCCCCTGGAACTGGAGTTAGAGGCGGCCGTGAGCCACATGGATGCTGGGGAACAAACCCAGATCTTGGAAAGATCTTGCAAAGAGATCAAACTCGCAAGAGCAGTAAGTGTGTCTAACTGAGGAGTTGTGTCCCCGGGCCCCCTTACACAACTCTTTAAATCTGAAAACTCTGTACAAATCACAAGAAATTAAGAGCTCAAGTCCCCAGTGCAGCTCCTCTGTGTCCCAACACCACCACCTAGAGGGTGGCAGTTAGCTTGGAGCAGAGCACCCACATCTGGGTGGGCTGGAAATCTACCTCCACAGGAGCCCTGGGGGAAGCAGAGACACCGGGAGGGGACTTGGTGCAGGGTGGT